AAATACTGAGCGAGTTGGATGTCGTCTGTTTGGACATCTTCGTGCGTATTCTCTGGCTGCTTCTGCTGCGTTTCCATTTACAAAGCCATAGGTACACAAAATGAATATCCGCTAACTCTTGATTGGAGAATAAAAATGGCATTTTTATAAAACTTACAAAAAAAAAACAGGTACAAGAAACTAAATTTCGTGCATTCACAATTGCAAAAAAACGTTTCAGGTTTCAACAGACAACAAAACTAACTGTCAACTAATTGAAGTTTAACCTTATTCTGCTTTCAATTTCAAAAATATTTGCAGGCACAGCCTACTTCTAAAAATTATCGAGATACTGACTTTTTAACGTTATTTTATCATAAATAATTAAAAATGCATCGAACCTTAAAAGTCGAAATATCTCAAAAAACGGCTAACTATAACGAAAATTCACAATATAGCTTTTTTATGTTGAAAAGTGCGAAGAATCAGTTTTTTTATTCAAAAAGCAAGAAATTGCACTAAGAAAAATTTTTCAGTCATTTTAATACACTACAGGTACAGTAGAGAGCGCCCTCTAGCGGCTACAGTAAAACTATGCCCATGGTTCGTTTTGTCGTACCAAAAAACCCTTGTATACCAATTTTCACTATTATACATCAAATATTGTTCGAAATATTAAAAAAAAACTATTTTAGAAAGTAAATTTAAACACCCTGTATTTTGGAAGCCACGTATTTTTCGACTCATGTTTATATAGACTTTATGCATTAATTTTAAAAGTTCTATCGAATCTTAAAGTTATGCAACAATAAACTGAAACACCCTGTATACAATTTTTTGATACTATATTATATTTTCCACAATCTTCAGAAACAGAGTTACGAAACGAGAAAAAACTATTAAAGAACACCGTTGCATAATTTAGCATAGGCTAGTAAATACAGTGCTTTTTTACTGAAAATATCGCGATACATCTAAGAAAATTTTGAGGCAGGCGTCGCACCACGTTATTACAATCGTAAATAATATGACATTGAGTTTTGAAAATCAACCATCCATCATCGAAATCAATAATTACTGATGCTTTATCTATAAAAATAAAGTGTTGGGTTGTGATCGTGTGATTACAAACATGATTTGTATTATTATAGTAGCTGTCAGTTGTGTGTAGTGTTATGTAGAAATACTTCTGTTTGTGTTTGCGTAGTAGAATGACAAATCAGTGTCATATTGCAATTTCAAGCATGCAAGTGATTTCTATGTTTGACCTAATAGTATTGGGAAATCTGATTAAGATCGCTACGCAATGGCTAAACATAATATCACTGGGAGAAAGACAATATTTCGGAAACGTAATACCAAAGGTAATACGTTTATGACCTACGATCTAAATAACGGTATATGGCGGGGAGCTAAGGTGGATACATGGAAGAGGCGACGACACGGAGTTCCTAGAGGAAGAACAGATATCAACCGTTGAGATCCACGGGGTGGTACCACCTCGTTGGACGGAGAACTCTTTTGTACATTCTGTTGTTTCTAGTAATTTACCGCCACAGAGCGCCGCGATCAGTTGTATCGATTTCCCAATGAACAGCAACATCACAACCAACCTCTATTTTTTAGATAATGAACAGAACGTAGCCCAAAACGGAAACACAGTTTCACGTCATCCGACTGTCATCTTTATCATTCATGGACACCGCATACAACGCGATATTAAAGGATTTGCGAAATATCGATAAAACCATCTATGAAAAAGGTACTTATAGTTGCTTTTGTTTATTTTTTTAACTCTGTTTAAGTTTAGATTTTCTAATTTTATTCAACATATAATACAAATACCTAACACAGTATAAGAGAACGAGTATTTCCAATCAGTAATATCACATTTTTAGTGGTGATCCGCACACTTGTTACCTTAATTGCGATTCTAAATGTCAGATTGCGACTCCGTATGGCAAATTGAGAGTTCAGTGGATTGTACTAGCTGAAGGTCTTGTTTACTTTGAGATTATGCGGCGTTAGTATCATTTGTTTGGCTTTTGCTTGCGACACTGCTTCAGAGTTGGCACAGTTTCCGCCTCATGGACAAGAGGGTAACAATGTTCGCATATCGGTCATAGTTCATATTTCCCCCGTCAAATCTTGTTTCAGAGGTATACTCTATATTCTATCCTATGGGCCTGTAACCCACAAACCATGCTAGAGAAATGCGGGCTGCAGTGATTTAGGTGGCATTCAAGCCACGCGGGTTAGAAGAACACCGAATACTACAATCGGTACTATCAGATTGTTTTTTACGTAATACGCAGGCCGATTTAATTTTTTAGTAGAAATCAATATATTTAAAACTGGTGGCGAGGATTTCCGCGGAAACTGTCAGAGAAAACGCACATTGAATGACAGACGAAAATGTTCTATAGTTACTGCAGCCAAAACCTGCAGTGCTTTTAAATTGAAAATTTCAAAATGGCCCCCAGCCGTCATCTTGGGTGATTTTTGAAAAGAAATGGATGGGACATGTGATACCTCTTTTTGAAGCTCCTCATAAGTACTTTATAAATCCAGAGTATACATTTATTATTTCTCAAAATGGCGGAGTGGCGGGCTGACAGAATAGACCGTTATTGTCTATTGAGTTTAGTATAGCTCAACAACTTATTATGAAAACAGGATGTTATACAGGGTGGGCCATAAAGGTGTTGGCAATTTCAATATTCAATTAAAAAATAACTACGCAATATAAAAGAAAAATAAGTATTTTTAAAAAGTAGAAAGATAGAAATTTTTGAGACTTAAAAATAATGTTATTCAAATGACTTCCTTCCTTGAAACCGAAGCTGCAGATTTTGGAAAAGTTGTTCTCGGTATTTTGTTACTTTCCTGAACAATATTCCTCTTCAGCTACTCTAAATTAGTTAATTAATTAGCCCCATAGGAAATAATAATCGTATGGAGAAAGATCGGGGCTACGTGGTGGCCATTCAATATCCCCCTTTTCGAAATGAGTTTTCCGGGAAAGACATTTTTCAGCAGCTCTATAGGGTGCTTAGGCCTTAGGCCTTCGTGGTAGTTGGAGTATAAAAAAAAAAAAAAAAAAAAAAAAAAAAAAAAAAGATACCCTAGCTGTATGACATCTTGCCCCATCTTGTTGAAACCACATTCTAGAGGTATTGCCTTGGAGTTCTTGCAAAACTAGCACCAAAAAGTCTGTTATCATATTTCAATAATTGTTAGCTTTAACTGTCATCGCTTGCCCTCTATTGTCCTCAAAAACGTACGGTCCAATAATACCGGTAGACGTAATTCCAGCCCAGATGACTAGTTTAGGGCTGTGAAGTGGACGTTTATGGAAGCGTCTGGGATTAGTTTCGGACCAGAACCGACAATTTTGTTTGTTAACATGGCCACTGAGGTGAAAATTATCCTCATCGCTAAACATCACGTTGCTAAAACTGTTGAATTGGTCGAGCATCAAATTGACAAATTGATAAGTCGGTTATTGGCATCATCTGGTTTTAATTCTTGGACTAGTTGAATCTGATAAGCCTTCAAATGCAAATCACGCTTCAAAATTCGCCGCAAGCTCGTTCTTTTCATGTCCAAAGCCTGACTTCTCTTACGTGTTGACTGTTGCGGATTTCGCTGAACTGAAACACGAAAACGCTCTACATTGTCAGCTGATCTTGCAGAAACTGGACGTTACCAAGAGCTGTTATTGCTACTGTCGAGCCGATTGTTTCGAACATTCTGATCCATTTCCGTATCATATTGGCGCTTGGAACTTCTCTTAAATCGCTTAAACCGTGTTCATGTAGATACAAACGTGCAGTAATAACTGATTTATTGTTTTCATAATACGCTCGGACACAAAATACACGCTGCGCTCCCGTGTTCGGCTCCATGGCGACTAAATTTCCAGGCAACGGCGTTTCCGAGAAATTTAATATTTAAATCGCCAACACTCTGATGGCCCACCCTGTATTAATACTCTTCTCATGGAAGCATCTAGAATATGTACAACAGTTGAAATATTTGTTTTTCACTTGGGAGATTTCAAATGAACCCATTTCGATTTCTATTCAGTCGAAACGTTAGAAAAATTACAATCCATCAATCAAAAATGGTGTGACATCAAATTCTTGACTTTCAATGTTAATAAGACATTTAAATGCTCCCTGGATTTTATAGATTTCGATAATTGACTGATACACAAAACAGATACCGTCAAATTAATGGGACAGACCACTAATCATAAATTAGATTTTGATAATCATGTAGACAAATTGCCTAGTCATCGAGCAAAGATGTTTCCTCGTTATAACAACAATTAGTTACAACGTAGGGAAAAGCAGTTACTTTGGCTTATTTGAAAGTAGATTGAGATACAGCACTCCCTTTTGGTATCCCTGTTCACAAAACGTTTGAAAAGGTTATTCTACAAAAACGAACTATTACATATATTATAACTAAACGCAAACCTAGATCTACATGCAGGCCTTTATTTGTAAATCTTAAAATAATGATTGTCGTATCACTGTTCATTTTAGAAACAGCAACTCTTATTTTTTAAAATAAATCTAAATTTGAAACATTAAACATAAATTACAATATTATACAAAAACAAGATCTCAACTTAGTAGTACCCAAAACAATACTTGTGAAAGACTCAATAATTTATAATGGTCTGAAAATTTAAATGAGTCTCCCTGATGCTATCATTTTGATATCTAAACCACATCATACCTTGTGTGAGTTCTACAATTCACTTGCTTAAGATCCACTTATGTATTTATAATAAAGTTTAGTTTTAAGTTAGCTTTGTCATTAAGAATGATTGTATTCTTCAGACAATAAAGCATATTTATCTATCTATAACAGAAACTCACAAATTTGGAATAACCATTAGTGTTTCAACATTTTAGGAACATAACTCATTGAGTCAGTGCACTCATAATTTCACCAGCCTTCTCTTAACGCGCATAGTCGATCCCACTTCTGATATCTCCGTTTTCTAGCCACCACCAATTTCACTAAACCCGGGTCACCCGCAACGTTGAACAAACTGGCGGCAGAGGATTCAGGGGCGAACGAGGTGCCCCTAACCGCTTCGGAAGAAGAGGGAGAGGACCACCAGTCCTTCTTAGGGGAAGAGGACCCTCTTGCCACCTTCCCAGACGAGGGAAACGGTGGGGAGGAGGATTATTGTCCGACTTTGTCTCCCAGTTTTGCCAACGTTGACGATTTCAACGAGTGCTCCAATCAAGGTATTGTGATAGTACCTTCAAATTAACTGAAATATGAATGCTTGGAGTGGTATGAAATCTTAGGATTGTTTATGAGGAAGAAACTGACCAAAACTATTATTAATTTAATTGGCAGCTCTCGCATACTTAATCATGTACAACTAATGATTTAAAAATATTCTGTCAAATTATTGATAGAGGAAAGTGCCCTAAACCTGACATCCCCAATAAATCGTGCCCCTGATTTTATCCTCGCTGCACTTTCATATTATGGATAGTAGTTTAGGCGTCTACCACGCCATCAGGGAGCGCAAACACAGCTCTCATCACATGTTAATGGAAAAAGTTTTTTCGGTATGATGCATATTTTATTTTCTTCTTAGATATTTGCAGGTAAGCCTTTATACCTATATATTTTTTTAAAAGACACCCTAAGTTGGTTTTTCTCAGGAAATTGGTCCAATTAGTCGTTCGATTGAACTTTTATCCGATAATCAAGTATTTGGTTTTAGTCACGCAACCGGGACCCCCTTCAGTTGCCTAAATCAGACCCTTGTTATCCTTAACCTTAGTTTTTATATATAACATCTGCTTTATCTGTAAATGCCACTATTCTTTTCAAATCCATTTTCAGGTAGAAAAACTAATAAAAGAAGATGGAGTCCGTCTAGAATGGCTAACGCGATAAATGCCATTAGAAACAAGAAGATGGGATGGAGGAAGGCTAGTAAAATGTTTAATGTTCCGAAAACTACACTCATGAGGTTGTCCAACACGAAGTATGGTACACCTGAAGAAGCAGCGAAAACAAAAAGAGGTAGACCTACAGTTTTGGGCAAGGATCTCGAGGAAGAACTGGTTCGCTATTGCCTTGCAATGGAAGCCTCCTTTTTTGGCCTCACCCATGGCGACTTGCGAAGAATGGCCGTGCAATTGGCAGAAAGAAACAAGATCGAACATCCTTTTAAGGACGATATTGCCGGAAAAAAGTGGGTTACCATTTTTCTTCAGCGCCACAAGAGCACCTTGTCTGCAAAGAGACCCACTGGAACATCTTATAGAAGGTCTCTTGGCTTCAGCAAAGAAAATACGGAGGTATTCTATAATCTACTGGAAGATGTTTACGAGAAATTCAGTTTCTCCCCCGAGAGAATATACAATGTCGATATTAGCGGGATAACTATGGTGAAGTCAAAAGTGGCAAAGGTAATCGCTCTCAAGAGTAAAAAGCAGATAGCTGCCTTAACATCAAAAGAACGTGATGCTCTGATAACAATCGTTGCTTGCATGAATGCTAGCGGATCATTTGTGCCGCCTCTTGTAATCTTTCCAAGGAAAAATATGAGTGACCAGCTCAAAAAAGGCGCTCCAACAGGAACAATATTTGCAGCGCATCCTTCAGGATGGATCGAAATCAGTTCCTTCACTCAGTGGTTTCGTCACTTTATCGAGTCTGTCCATCCTACAAATGAAAAACCTGTGCTATTGCTGTTAGATGGTCATTATAGTCATACGCGGAACATCGATTTCATAGACTTGGCAAAATCAAATCACGTGACCATTGTGTCGCTACCTCCCCACTCCTCACACAGGTTAGAACCCTTAGATAAAACGTTTATGGCTTCACTCAAAACTTACTACAGCGATGAAATCAGACAGTGGTTAAGACATAATGAACGTGCCATATCTGATTTTGATGTGATGGAACTGTTTGGTAAAGCATATGTTAAATGCCAAACGACTGAAATTGCAATAAATGGCTTTCGAGTAACAGGTATCTATCCCTTGAATAAGAGGCTCTTTTCAGATGCCGATTTCATTGAGGAGGCAAACAAGCAGCGAGGTTGCTCGATCTATGAATCTAAGTCAAAAAGCATTCTGGATGATCCAAATCGGCCATCAACATCTTCGGCGAGCCACGATGTCCCTCTGTCATCGACCACTCTTGATCATCCTTTGGGTTCACATTTTCTAGCATAGGCCCGTTAACATGGAACAGATTCCTCAAATCAAAAGAGGTCCTTCAACCATCACATCGACTTTATATAAGACCCAATTGACTAACGAAGCTAAAGACGCCACAGAAGCTAAAGATGGCAGTCATGCCAAAGACACAAAGGCTGCATCATTTCAACCAGAACATCAAAAGAAGACTCTTTGTGTATCTTTTGAGATGATTTTTTCCAGAGATTACGAAAAGGGACATGTGTTTTGTTCTGGACCAGAAACGGATGTATATATCTGTGATTTTGTCGTTAGGAAATTAAACTATATGTATCAGCTTAAGAAATTTATGTAACCTAACTAGATAATAAAATCTTTATTGATGATGTAGACAATTTTACTAAGGGTTCGGTTTTGGCAACTATTTTTCAAATCAGGGGTATGTAAGGTTTTTGTAAATTACTTCTTTGATTACAACTTTCAACCGAAATTCATGAAATGAAAGTGTAAGTAAATGGTGAACAACATTACAAAGTAAATGTCCACGCATTTAATGCTTTCTTATAGCTATTTCTTATATTTTTTAATCATTTAAAAAATGGCGGTCTGCTTTTGGGCACTTTCCTTTATCATGTGACAGTATTATCTATAAACAGAATTATAGACATAATAGTAAGCTCAAGTCTATATATAGGGTGATTACAAGAACAATAGCAATACTCTTAAAACAGTTGCGTTTTTAGGCAAGCAAGAAGATGGCAAATTCCGTAATTCAGATTCTAGAAAATCCGAATGTTACCAAAATCGTTTTTATTTTTCCTGTGCTTTATGAAGGTGGGAAAGTAAATTACACATTAACATTACCACTTTTTTTCTTCTCAACAAGGTGGCGAAATCAGTTTCAATGCGGCGTTTCGTTTCTTGTTCTCCATTCCATTATGAACTTTATATTTTTGTTTATAGACGCCATACTGAATTTTTGCACACCTATAAAATTAATGATTTCTTCAGTTGTCTAGGAACCATGTTAGAAGGACAGTTAGACAATTTGTCCTTCTGTTGACTAAGATAAGTGTTACTTTTAATACGACAGAGCCGGCCTCAGCCGTAGATTAATATTATTTGAATCCCAGATGTGTTCATCGGTTTAGATATGACGGACATGTAATGTGTTTAGCAGCCTAAAGCATCGCCGAAGCTTTTACTTACTATATATATATATAGTAAGTATATATTTGTTCTTGACATACAGCTGTGTGTAGTTTGTATTAATTTTGACGATTGTACCATGTATCCAGCTTTCACCAGGTTACTGGGTGTTTCCCTCAACGTAAACGTAAATAACATTTAGCAACATCCTCACATACTACGGCAAGTTAATTTAAAATTTATTTTGCACAATTGTTGCTATTTTTCTCAATGTTATTGCAGCTCCTGATGATGATGGCAAAGACCATTGAAAGCTAGAGAGATTAATAAAGTATAAAGAGTCCGCTTAAATTTTGTCGAAGTAACCAACAAAAGGCGGAACCTTCAATTTTTCACCTAACTGGTCTAGACGACAATTACCACGTTTCAAGTTATATATATATATATATATATATATATATATATATATATATATATATATATATTGCTTCCGGTTTGAAGGTTTTTATCATTACCTTTAATTTTTTTGTCATTTGATGAGCAAGGCCAACTATACGTAGATTGCTTTGAGATATTTACAGTCTTCTACTGCCAGTAATTATCTATTCACCTATGTAAATTTCTCAACATGGTGTCCGTGGGACAAAATAAAGTTGATGATGGAGAACAAGAGTCGAACCATCATACTGACAATCTAATTATGCCACCATGTAGCGGAAAAACAGTGGAAGTGTGACTGCGCAATTTACATAGAAATCCCACCTCAGATAAAAATCGGTTAGATACTTTGAATTTCGAAACTTACGTACCATTTTCCTAGTTTCATAAATACGGAACTTTGCTCCTTTAATATCGACCAATTTTTTAGCGTTTCCGAGATCCTAATGGTGAAGTATACCCGGTATAGACATGTATGTTGTCCTGGGGGTTCTTTTTCATCCATGAAGATTTTTTTTAAATACTATTGTTTAATATTCGATTGCATTCATGTTTTCTGGTTTGGTTACTACTCGGTGCATCGACGCATTTGCTATTTTTAGCAAAATCTAACTTTTTTGCACTGCATCCCAACGTTTGTGAGGTATTTGAACTTTGGCATTTTGTTTATCATTTTCAACATGCATTCCGAGGTATTTAGCGCTGCTCTGATATTTTATAGTGACTGTATTGTTTGCCTGTCTTGGCGTTAATCGCAACGTATGGAGGTAAGTGATTCTTATATGATGCTAAGGGTACAAAAGTGTTTGCTGTTAAAAGATGCTAGTACATTTTTATTTTTATTGTACCCCCAAAATCGACTGAGAATAAATCGTTCATTTAGATTTAATGATGAATAAAATGAGTCATAGATTGTCATTAAACGATCAGATTTGTTGTCACGTTTTGACATGTTGAAGTGTTAAATAGTTAGGTGATTAACGGAAGTGTCATACCTCTCCAAACTTTCGAACGTTTCAGCCTAATTTGACTGGATTACTAACATTTCATCTCGGTTATATTATGCTTTGCACTTATCACACTACTTTCGAAAAACATTGTTGCTTTTTTAGTGTAGTTAATATTTACCTAAATGCCTTTTCACTGTTTTTGCGGGTCACAGTAAAACTACAAGAGTTTCTTTCTTACATTCATCATCATCACACATACATATCTCTACTCTCTATGCGCTGACATTAGTATAAGATTACGACATACGTTTCTTAGTTTTATCTCACCGCCAAGAAGATTTCTGACTCAACATACGACTCTTCCATATTTATATTTGTCACTGTCAGCATAACAACTTGCTTGCCATAAGCATGTGATTTCAGTTTACCGTTTGTTGACCTTGATATGTATAGTGCAGGATAGCAATGCCTGAAGTTACAATTGTAATGTAGATAGACTGCGTTAAGACCGATGGTAGCAACTGTAATATCAGTTTGCGCAGTGTGCAGTTTCCTTTAAGGAACTCACGCTCCGCACATAGTACATTTAGTCAATCTGTTTACTTATTTCGTATGACATCGTGACCACCAAAAACCGTGAAAAGAACTATATAATGCAATATGGTTATTGGAGCACAAATTAGCATCGTCTTCATTGGTTACAGGGATATCGGGCAATGAACGCGTTCAGGGAAAACAAAAGCGCACTAGCAGTTAATGTCAGTGTCAAGTTGATATTTAATTTCATTAGACATCACATTGACATTGAGGGTTTCGGCATAGCTCCTGGTTGCACTTTGAATATTTTGCACATATACAAAGTGGTTTATAGGTCTCAACGTTAAAATCAAACTGCTACTCAGCATTGGATGTTGCACTTCTTAAAATATAGTAATCTGATTCCTATTTTACTTCCTATTCAAACGCTATATATATAAGTATTATGATAGGAACAATTTTCCATTTTGGGGTGTTTCGACATCCTTGATTCTCTGGTTATCTGGCAGCTAAATCAAACCATATATGTTTGAATGTCTCATTTTTACTAACTTTTCGGCCACCACGGAATACTATCCTCATAAAAACCACAGAATGAGTTTTAGACGTTACACGTTCCTCGAAGTATTCGAAATTATGATAAACTGTCAAAAAATTATATAAAGCGAGCAATGTATCTCGGATAACAAGTTAACCAAATCTTCAATTGGCAATACATCTAAAGGCCCGACCCGCATAAATCAATTTAAAAATTAAAGGAGTTCAAAGCTGAGTTTGGTCACGCTCTTTAAAAGAATATCCTCAAGAAACTGAAACTCAGTCTCGTGGACGGATCCCACCCGAGAGGAATTGTCTAGAAATACTGTCTGTGCAAGTTTTCCTAACAAATTTTGAACATTTGCTTATGGATATTTTTTCAGCACATCTGCAGGTCAACCTTGTGTTTTTCTGAACCGTTGCCTTGACGTTGTTTACGAAGGACCTCGCAATATTTCAGATTTGCCTTTATACGGGTCATTAGTCAATATATCTCCTTAACGTCATTTTCTTCATTACAGATTCAGACTCTGGCGTTGCCACCGACGCACTAAGCACCAGCGACATAGACGCATTGACCGGGCCCGGTTGTGACTTTCTGGACACTGCGTCGAGTGCATCCACAGCGGCCACTGGTTCCAGCGGCGGGGAATCCCCGAACCAACCGACAGCGACGGCGTCAGACGACAATACCCACCCGGCCGGCGATAGAGATGCCGCCGTTTTTGGAGGGGAGAGCGACGGGAGTTCAGGTAGGCGGATCATACTCACAATTTATGTCAATCAGTGAGTGGTTAATAAATCGGCTTATATTAGGTAGTAATTTATGTCAGCAATGTCGCTAGCTTACAAAAAAGCCTACCGTCCTCATCGGGTCGCCATGGTGATGTCACCAGTATCTCTAGGTAAATTATAATTTTATATTCACTCTCAAAATAACTTCCCTGTGAAGCTACATATCACTGGAGACGATTCTTACACCTCAGCAGTGCTGGGACTCCGATACTGGAATGGCCTTCAGCTGGTTGGTTACAGCCGTTTGAATGTTTTCGACTGTCCTAAAATGAGTTTTGTCGATGTGATTTTTCGGAAGTTCGGGAAGAGACAAAAGCCACAAGGACTCAGGTCAGAAGAATAAGCAGGTAGAGGAGCCACAGGAATGTTTTTACTGGTCAGAAACTCTTTTATTTGCATTGCTGTGTGACAAGGAGCATCATCGTGATGCAACTCCCAGTTGTTCTTGATCTGATGAACAGTCAAATTTAACTGTCGATATTTTCATCGGTTCTTGAATCGTCTCTCTCCATTTTGAAACTGCCTTAAACCACCGAAACATCTGAGCTCTTGACAAAACACTATCTTGGTAGACCTGCTGAAGTTTGCAAGAGTGTTTACTTTGTCTGAAGCAAAACTTGATAGCACGCTGTTGCTCGAAATTGATGTCATTCATTTTTAGAAGAATAAAAAAACTGTTTCACAAAAAAAAATCGCTACTGACAACCAAATGACTCGAACGAGTTCAAACTTATACTGAAGGCAGATCACATGGTCTCCTATCTCCCCTCTAAGCCCGGCGCCTCCAGTGTAACCAGATCGAAAGCTACGTTGCCGCTCTCATCACTTAACAGACCTTGTATAACAGTTCCTTGGCGTGATGACTAATGGCGACGATTTTGGCGTAGCTCTCCACTGGTCCCACATTATAGAGTTGCCATGTATTTCTATCGAAATCTATTGTGAGGTATGAACTAGTCATCAACTAATCATTCTCATTTTGTCTTAAGCAAGGAGGTATGTAATGTACTACTGCAAGTATTAGACCTTCGATGCAAGACATATTTATTTAAAATGGAACTTCTATTATAGGTGCTTCTGCCTCTCCATTGCCTCCACCATCATCTGCAACACCATCTCCAGTGGTTCGAACGCCACCAGCAGATGCCCCAACTACATATCCCAAGATCAGGATCAAGACCACTGGGTTGCTAAAAGAATCTGCTTCAGAGTCTTTGACAATCACAGAGATCACAGATGATAATCCAGATGGCGATCCCAATCGTGGTAAGTACTACATGATTTTAAAAGTGGGATGGGTGCTTTGAACATTTGTAGTTGTGTTTCTGTTCCGTCAATGGAACTGGTTGATTACTCGCCCGCAGGGGGTTACGTATCTTGAAAAGTGACAGTATGCCGATTTTTTTTTGACATTATATTGTTTATTTGTGATATTATGTAGTTTTTTCTATAAGATGTTAACTTAGCAATGGCTGATGGACACGTTGTGAACTCGTTTTGTAGTTGCCTGAACGTCAGGAGGCTTCAGTTATCAATTTTAGGCTCTGATATGATGTAAAATCTGCTTTAGAGATGGCATTAGAGGTAACGGCAATGTATAGAAGTGCATAGTGAGGATATGTGTGCTAATAATATGTGTTGATCATAATTCCATTGGATTCTTGTCTCAAATACACTTACTTGCGATGTAAAGCTAGAAATTAGTTGCGCATCCACTTTTTCTTCTCCATTCTGGAAACCACATATTATGCAAATTTGCTGAGTTTCAAAAACGAGAGCGATAATTATATTAACTGTACACTATCAAATTACAAGTCATATAAATGCTAACAGTAATTACACACAACGCGGGCGCAGTGGTGATTTCCCATAATTCTCCTCAACATTTTTGAAAAAACAAAAAAATTTAAAAAATCGTTATTGATAATTTTTAATATAACCTGCCTTTCGAAAGGACAACATAATTATAAATAACCAGTCAGGCACAGCTAATAGATATACTTCATTGGCAGCGTATTCAGTAATTATTTTATCACACAGCAAATATCACTGATTTTATACACATTCAGACCAATACACACAATCATACAGATGCGATCTTGATATTCAATCAAATAACCAACTTTCTACTCAGAGACTCAGAGATGAAAACTATAGCCACATACTATAGCCCACTCGACTTCACAAAACATATGCAACCAATAATGAGTGTATACGGGTTATGGGCAGTTGAGCCATTCCTCCATAGATGGACGATCACAGCGATCCAAGTAAGCAAACGTGGAATGACTGTTTGCACCCTAAAAACTACCTAGTCTGCAAGCTGACATCTTATAGGTTTCTTGACGTTTTATAGGTTTTTTACATAATACCCGTGCGGTCAGATCATTCAAACATAGTAAATTTGTAGATGAAACATGCAACTCACCCTACCAGATGAAAGTAGTGACTTAAAAAGTTCGCATTTGCTTGAACAACATTCTTGTCATAGGTGCGATTTTATTCACTTTAACGCGCCGTCTCAATTACAAAAGCATGAAAATCGGATACACCAAATTCATTAAAGACCACAGAATATATACACAAATTAAAAACCAGACACTACAAAGCATAAATAGAAAGTAAAACTTTTAGTTTATTTACATGGAAACTTGGAAACGTCAACTTTTTTGGCGGCTGTAGGGATGGGCAACAATAACTGGTTAATTTAATAACTGGTTTTTCAAAAATTAGTTAACCGGTTATTTCATATCGTAAGGATAAACGGTCATCGGTTAAAAAGTGCAATAACAGGAAAGAATCTTTTTCTTTTTCTATCTACACAAGTCTCAGTGAATATGGAGGTAGTGAATATTACAGCTGTCTTGCATTTGTTGTCCTTAACCACTTCTCCTGCCCTGCGACATAACCGCTTTGGGTAAGCTCAAGTTTTAATGGATGGAAACCTCACATTTCCCGCATCTACATTTATTATAATATTATAACTAAGCCGTAAGTCTATTCATAAATGCCGCTCTCTGCACATGGCGCTTGGCTAGCCAGGGTGTAAACATGGCCAATGACACTTTAAATTGTTGATGGACAAAATTAAAGGTTATTGTCCGATTAACCGTAGAACCAGTGGACTTTGATTCTGTTAACCGGTGCCCGTTAATGTTATCGATGAAATAGTCGGTTAACCTACAACCGGTTTTTTTTACAAAAACCGCCCATCCCTAAACGGTTGTTATTACTTAGGGCAAGTCTACTCAGCGAAAGATTGTCATGCTTCTAAATTGCGCTCTGATAAGGGTGCTACAATATTTTGGTTATTCAAGCAATGTAATCCATTCATTCATTCATATTGATATGAAAAAAGCGTGTTAATTAAGCTGCCTTAATGCGCCAAATATAAAATCAAGTCGCATTTCCAATTTGCTTTGCTATGAGGCGATCCGTGTAAGAGGTACCTAAGTATCGGTTGGCGGTAGAGCCGCGACGCGGCGACGCCCCCAAAGTCTAATCAGCTGATTGTCTAGGTTGATGATACTTGACAAAAATAACCGTTTTAAATCCACATTATTTGGTGAAGTAGTTAGTTGTTGAAGTAATTCTATGCGCTACATAATTATAATTATGAAGAAAATTAACGATGATTAACGAATTTTGATCTGCATTATGCCGAAGAAGAAAATACTACTCGTTGCATCCGTTGCAGGACAAAACTCAATGTGGTCATCTCCCTCGCTGGAGGACCCGCTTAAACTACCAGAAGGGGATGACAACAATCTCATATCGCTGTTCAACAACAATGATAGTCGCGCTAAAGACCTGGGTTTCCACTCCAGTGATAGTGAATTTATTTCTTTGGACAGGCTGGAAGATAGGAATAGGGGTGCGATGGTGAGTACAGTTTTCATTTAAAAGGAACAAAAATATTGAAAGCGGGTCGTTTATGAGATTTGTAACTGTCTGCTATTTCTTTCAGACCCTGTATAATCCAGGAACATCACAACAAAATGCCTTAGAAAGTCTGACTGGCCTACCAATGCAAGCCTTAGCTCAACAGGTGTCAAGGCTACAACCATCAGGAAGCAATGGCATGCATCAACAAAATGTGCTGATCAACATTCAGCAATTCCCATCTGGACCACCTCAACCACAGTATCAGCCACCACCAATGTATCCACCACCACATCATTATCCTCCTCAGCCCATGCATCAACCATACCAATACCAGTAAGTACAGAAACATTTTAACAAGATTATTAGGACAAAAATGTCTTGTGAGTTTTGAGAATTTCTTTAGTGGTGGCATAGAGCTACAGGCAAAATAGCAAAAAAAGTGACACTTTGGTTTTTCACATTTAAAAGACGTTATATTCAGACATTTTTTGGGGTACTGTTGCGTCTTGTAGAACTTCGGATTTCACTGTTTTTTCACTTGAAACTTCTAGAGGGTAGTCTGATGGATTATTTTAAATAAAAAAAGTGTGGATGAGGCACACTTTTCATGAATTTTTTTCCAAAAGACGTATTTTTACCAGTTATCTCTACCATTATTTACACCACCATCTGCCATATGACGACGTTGATGTCTGTGCATATGTCATATATGAGAGGCACTCCGTATTTAGGGAAGATGAAAAGTGGAAAATCTATATATGTACATTTATATTAATCAATGAAACACAAAAAGGAAAAACTGGAACAAACAACAATAGCAAAATAAAAAGCAGTTCTTAATAAGAATAAAACAAAAAATAACAGTAGTAAGCTAACACACAATAAATTGTAAATGATTATAAAAAATAAAAACTGGTAAAGCAAATAAAAAACAATACCATGTAATTATAAAAAATAAACAGTAAATCAGAAAAGCTATTCTAAGTGATAACAAAAAACAATTATTTCTCATTCCAAGCAAGGAAGTATTATAATCACAAAATTTTGAGAAGATGAATATTGAACGATTTGATGTTTTTAGAAAAATCCCAGAGTCTGTTTTGTGACATTTCCAATTCAGTGATCACTATAGGCCGTATAGTCAAGAAAGGGTGTCATAGGTACATTTTTCAGTATATACAATTTAAAATATTTATATTATGTTATGTACTGGGTCAGTGTACTTGATACCATTTTATTAATATGGCATTTATTTTCAGGCCTCCAAATCCGATGTACTATCCCCCAGCACCCCATGGTTATCCACCACATCCTCAACCACCTCCTCCACATATGGGACCCCCGCCACCCCCACAGCAGATGCAACATCAGCAGCCGCCCCCAATGGGAGGTCAACAGCCTCCTCATCAACAACATCAACCGCAACAGCCTATGCCACTACCAGGTAATATGTTGTTATTATTACCATTATATTAATTAAAACATCCATAAATGACTTTCTTTGGTAACATGAAACCCAGTTGCTTATCCATTCTAAGACAGAACCAATATGACATCTTACCACAAAGTACAAGCTACAACTACATACAGAGTTTAAGCTGTACCCTACCAGTCTCACTTGTCTGCTTTCCTGCAATTGCCACTGTCAGATTGCAATTCCTTATATCCAATTGCGATTTTTTATGTCAGATTGCAAAAGTACTTACAGTAACTGTGTGTAGTTGCCTACTTTGAGTCTGCAATACTGCTGTAGAGATGACATCCATTGGTTTAAAAAATGTACATTCAGTATCATACGAGCGTGCAATCCACAAACTATACTAGTAATATTCTGGTTGGAATATACAGGGTGACAGGTAAATAGGTGTAAAACATTTTAGGAGGTGATAGTACAGTCGAGAGAGAAAATAGTTGGCGATTAAACATTTGTTTTTTGTGGTTTTGGGTTATTATTTCAATAATTAACTATTATAAATTAAAAAAGATTCGAAAACAATACCAAACAACGTATTTATTTTCATTCAAAAATGTTTAACTAAGAAAAACAAATTACGTTTTACAGTAAGTAAGGTGTTTTACAAAAAAATCAGTATACAAAAAAACGTACAAACAATTTAAATAATATCCTTGTTTCATAAGGAATCTAAATTGGTATGTGCATAAAAACTGTGTGAAACTAAACATAATGTATTGTAATACAACAATAGGGAGTAAATTTACCAATGGCTTGTCTCCTATTTTCACAACTCTGATTGATAAGAAAGTGTTTTTGTGAAAATAATGTAACTGTAAGCTATGGGATAGTTATTATTTTAAACTACGGTTAAGTTACACGATTAGATTATTTTCACAGTTGTAATTGTACTACATAATAATAAAAACTGACTAAAAGTTACTACAATTGGTAAGTAAAATACAATAATGAAATGAAGGTAAAATTCATTGCAATTGTTGTTCGAACTGACGCCCGCCGTTTCTTATGCAAGCCCGTAGTCTTTTTCTCATGTTGGTACGCGTGATGCGGCCAGTTAGTTGTCCTCTGATAGTGTCAGCAGCAGCAATAATTCCTTATTTCAACAAAGAGTGTCTATGGGCTCAGCGTACACCAGTGACTTCATGTGCTCCCATAAATAATAGTCACACGGTGTCGGTCCACCTCGGCCAATCCAGCGACAAGGATATTTCTCGTCCAGCCACTGTCTAACACCCACACGGAAATGCGCGGGACAGCCATCGTGTTGGTAGATCAACTGCATCCTGATATTAAGAGGCAGGTCTTCGAGATACTCCCAGAGTTCTGATCTCAAAAAGTTTTCATAGGATTCGCCATTCAGGTTGTCAGGCAAAAAAAGTGGTCCAATTAGATACGTATGAATGATTCTCATCCACACGTTTGCGGAAAATCTTCTTTGATAGGCTCTTGGCTTTGCCATGTGGGGATTTGCCTCTCGTGGGGCCCAATAATGTAAGTTGTGATAATTTGTTGTCCCCTCTCTGTCAAACTTAGACTCGTCGGTCCACAATATTTTAGTTGAATAGTCGTTTTCTTCTTGATCCCGATGAAGCATGTATCGACAAAAATCAATTCTTGCGGGATCTCCTTCTAATACTTAAACCGGTGTGTAATGGAAAGGGTAAAGTCTCGCCGAATGCAAAACGAACCAAACTTTCCACTGAGTTAAACCAACCTGCTTTGCTATAACTCGTGTAGACGTCGTCGAGTCTCTGCCTCTACCAGCATGATGACGTCTCTCATGAACCCGTCCACTTTCCTTGACGCGTTGGTACACAGAAGCAAATACTCGGTATTCGCCGATTCGGAAAACGGTTTTCGTATTCTTGCCTGGCTTCAACGGAATTTCCAACACTTAAACCATAACAAAACAGAATATCAGCGTATTCTTCGTTACGGTAACTCGCCATTATTAAAACTGATCAAAAAAGTAAAAGTACGTCCTACCGCGTTAAAGGTTGATATTCTACTAACTAACCTAAGCGTTAGTTCCCTTTCCTTGATCCGTCAGCTGTGTCAATTCATAACTCACGCAGAGCACATTTAAATGAAAATAAATACGTTTTCAGTAGTGTTTTCATATGTTTTTTAATTTATGAGAATTATTTATTTAAATAATAACCTGAAACCACCAAAAAAAGAATGTTTAATCACCAATTTTTTTTTTATCTCAACTATTTTACTCTGTAATCTGGGTTGTTTTTTTTTTTTTTTAAATTAAATCTTCCATAACTTTTTAACCTTTGAATATAGGGTATGGTATTATATACTAATTTTGATAGCAAAGGAGCTGTACTATCACCTCCTAAAATCTTTTACACCTATTTACCTGTCACCCTGTATAGGCAAATACCAGCAAAACGATCGTTGTCGTTTCTCCGTAGATGACCCTCACGATGTGTGGGCTATCTGAATTTTGGAACCACTATTGTCAGATTGCGATTTAAGCTTTTGTATGACGATAATTGACTATCAATTTGACTGGCCATTTGTTTACAGCCCCTCCAGTTTCTCAACACCAGCAGACTCAGCAACAAGGGCCACAACAGCAGTACAGACCTCCACAACCTCAGGCCGCCGGACCTGGGATGGGTGGTCCCAGGCCGCAGGGACAACAGCCGGGACAGCCTAGGCCGCCGCAAATGGGACAGAGGATGCCCAACGCCAGGCCCATGGGTGAGTTACTTTTATTCATTATTGCATATTGAATTAACGTTGCCGGACAACTTTAGGATTTTGGTGGGCCACTGTAAACTACCCTATCACAATCATCAGAACACCACTAATACCGGGTCAATCGACTTGCAAATGACAGCGCTAGAGTGCGAACTGAAGAGGTGGGAAGTTACATATGCAATCAGCCTCTGTGTATGAAAATTTTTGTAAACCCACAGGCATACGTTTTACGTTTTTTAGTTCGGCCTCGCCAACTTGAACATTGTCTCGTAAACGTATGAGTGTTCCACGTGTATGCTTCTCTCTACCAGATCAACAGCTGACTTGTCATGAGCTTGCAGTTTGAGCGTACCCTTTGCTGATCTCCGATATACAGTAATGGACAATATAGACAAATTAATATTGTGCTGTATTTCTTTTTTAACTTGTTTTATTAATACACCAACCTGTATACATAATTCGTTATAGCATAATACTCACTTATACATAAATAAATTCATTAGACTAATAGAATAGAATAATTTTTATCTCGTATTTGCTTATCTAAGTATTCCCATAGATTTTCAATGGGGTTTATATCGGGAGACTGGAAGGCCATTTGAGAACTGGTATTTTTTCATTCAGAAAAAATTTCTTTGCAAGATTTGAAGTGTGCTTCGGGTCATTATTTTGCTGGAAGTTTGATCTTAAGGGCATATTGTCTTCCATATAGGGTAACATGACATGCTTTAGTATGTCTGTGTATACAAACTTATCCATAATGCCATCTATTCTATGTAAAGGTCCCATCCCAAACCCTGAAAAGCACCCCCAAACCATAAAAGACCCGCCTGCATGTTTGACAGTGGGCAAAGTGTACTTGGGGTTCAATCTTTGTCCACTAGGACGTCTAACGTAATGAACACTATCTGATCCAAACATATTGAACTTGGATTCGCAACTGAAACATACCCTTTTCCAGTCACAGATGCTCCAATCAAAATGCAACCGTGCAAATTGTAATCGGTCCTTACGGTTTTTCCTCGAGATTAGCGGCTTCTTACTCGGGCGACGTGCAAATAAATTCAAATCATTTAATCTCCCACTTACAGTTTTCGTAGAAACAGTGACAATTCCTTTTGTCTCGATTTCGGCTTTTAATTGTCTTGGGGTTTTAAGCGGATCTTTGGACGAAATTACTTTTATTAATCTAACTGATCTAGCATTTAGTTTTCTAGGCCGACCACTTCTCTTAGAGGCTTCCAAGATACCTTTTTGTTTATATTTATTCAATATTGCCCAAACTGCTTTACGCTTCAGCTTCAAGTTTTTGGCAATGTCGACTTGACGTTGACCATCTTTGTATAACTCAGTGATCTTAGTTGTCACATCGAAAGAAATTTCTGGACGACGCGGCATGGTCTTAAAATCACTCAACTTATTCCACAATACTTGATGAACACATACTAATCCTCTTCTGACATGAAACTGTACTAAACTAATGTTGAAAAGAATTTGTCTACATATTTTTGTCCCTCATAAAAAAGTGCTTGTATTCAGACTTGTATTATGTTAATTGCAGATAATGTAAAAACAAGGAATTAAGTTTTTCTACTAATAACGCATTTGTTTATGGAACAATGAAGTATGAATTCGTTTTCTAAAGGTATTTAGGTAAATATTCATATTTGTCTATATACTTTTGTTCATTACTATATCCAGTAGCAACGTCTGAAAATACAACTAGTGGACAGTGTTGGGCGTTGCGCTGAATTTATCGGAGTATTTTTGGAAAGTGAAAGGAAACAATGGGCTTCTGTTACCCTATATTTATGTTTGCGTTCACGAACTTGTACAGTTTTGTATTCAGGCTACGACAATCGAGGTTAATGTCAGTCTGACTCGTGTGGGTGAAAGTACAGGGTGGCCAATATGTAACTGACTGGTTTGTATCTTGAATATTTGTGAAATGAAATAAAATACATCAATTTTTTTCATCTTAACATTTTATTGAAACTTAGAAATTATGGATTAAAAATAATATCAGACAAATGTCCGCCTCTAGAAGCCGCGCAAACCTTAGCCCTCTTGATTACATTTTCCGTCACTTTTTGGTAGTGTTAAATCCGGTGATATCACCAAATCGAGAAATTAAACGTCGCGGAAATATTGTTTGCAGAAGATTGTTTTCCTAGCTGAGCGACAAGTTGCTCCGTCCTGCTGGAACCGCATGTTTTGCAGGCTAAATTATTGAATTTGAGGAGCCAGAAAATTTTGCACCGTATCACGGTAGCGCTCACCAGTGACAGTATGAGCGTCTTCAAAGAAGTAAGTCCAATGACACCTCCATACCAAACACCGCACCAAACTGTGACTCGACGAGGATGTAGAGGTCGTTGATGGATGACACGAGGGTTCTCTAATACCCAGATACGACAATTCTGCTTCCCATATATATAGAGAAGTAGACGAAAACAGATACGTTGCTGGACTATTTTTTGACCTTTCGAAAGCATTCGATATAATGGATATTTCGTTTATCGTGGAAAAATTGTACTGCTTAGGTATAAGGGATTTTATTCTCAGCTGGATCCAGACTTTCCTCACAGATAGAAAATTGAAAACGAAGGTCAATGGTCATACGTCAACTCAATATTCCGTGAATATAGGTGCGGCACAAGGCTCAGTACTTGCACCACTGCTCTTCATTGTATACATAAATGACTTGAAATTGTCTGGCTTCATGATTAATTATGCGGATGACACATCTATCGTCGTCAGTGCCACGACACCGCAGGATCTTCTCGAATCTATTGAGAAAGTCAAAAGTGAAATGAGCAAGTGGTGCCAGTCTAACCGCCTCATTTTGAATGAAGATAAGAATGTTGAAATTCATTTCTTCAACAAGAAACCACGCATGGATATTGATAGCTTTTCAGATCAAACTGTCTTCTTAGGAACTCATGTTGATAGTAAGTTAAGCTGGCAACCACAAATAAATCACATTTGCAACAAAATTAACAGTGCTTATTTTGCAATATTGAAATTAAAGCCTAACATCCATCTAAACTCACTCTTAGATATGTACTACGCGCTAGTTTATTCTCACCTCACTAACAATATAATCATATGGGGACAGGCAACAATGATTAACAGATTATTTATCCTGCAGAAAAGAGCACTTCGATTAATTTTTAATATTAATAAGAGGGACACTTGTAAAGAAATATTTAGACGCTATAATCTGCTTACATTAACTTCCATCTATATCTACAAATGTGCCATCTTCGCATTTGAACATAGCAATAGATTTGTTCGTAACAACGCCATTAATAGTCAATACAACACTAGAATAGGGCATGATCTGAGTATACCGACACATAACTCTGCCCTATTCCAAAAATCTCCCCCTCTCTAGCGTGCACTAAGGTATACAATAATCTGCCGAGTGAGTTGCGGAGAAGCACTAATATCCTTGCGCTGAAAAAACATCTCAGGAAATATCTGGTTGAAAAATGCTATTTTACTCTCTACATGAGTTTTACTAACACATGAAAGTATCTGTTTTTTAAATTCTTTTAAGCTGTTAATCATTTCGTTATCAGTGAATTGTCTATTATCGTGGAGTAAATGTATTTTAATTTCACTTTTTATTCGAGTTTTAACGAAAGTATGTATGTTTTCTTTTTAAGCTTTTAACCATTTGTCCTCACTGCTCGATGTTTATTGTGTTTATTATATATTATGTATTTCTAACAGATTCTCCTACCGCTTTTCTTTTCTTTGTATCAGCTTCAATGATTTTTACCGGCTAGACGAACATTTTTTGTGATAAAAAAAGTCGCTGTATATGTATATATTTTTACCGTTACAGATTACGATTCTTGCACTGTACCTGTACCTATAATGTGATTTAACCTTTTAAAACGTTTTGTAATTGTAATGTCCTTATTTATTTTATAATTATAAGTATTTTTCTGGCATATTTGCTCAAACGCATATATGACCCTCAAATTGATATTGACAAGTCTTATATCATGTAACATGATCTAATAGGACAATAAACTATCTATCTATCTATCTATCTATCTAACAAATCAGTTCATATCGAAGTGGGCTTCATCGCTCATTATATCAGTTGTCGTTAAAAATCGTTATTTTGGGTATAGCTGCAGTATTGCATAACTATTGTCGGCGAATTTTAGGGTCACGTGGCTGTAGTTCTTAGGTTAACTGAATTTTGTATGGCCGCAAATGCAAGTCTTTTTTTAAAATAGTGCATAATGATGTGCAACGAATACCCAGAACGATGTCTGGTAGACGTCTCAGGACGCTCCACTACACTTTCACGAACTCTCTCTATATATTCCGGAGTACGAACAGTTCGAACACTTTGGCACATTATTTCGACCGAAATATTGTCGTAGCTTCCGAATACTTGCAACAATCGACTCATTATTTAAGTAAAATGTTTTAACAATACGGACGCGTTGTGGGATCTTGTAGCGCTCTATGATGAATTGGACACATGTGCTTTAAACAACTACTACGGCGCCACCTACTGAAATGCGTGTATCAAAAATGGCGCTCAATTTAAATCAGTCAGTTATATATTGGCTATCCTGTAGTATACATGACTTTGTACCCTGCCTCTAAAGAAAGCGTTTCTGATTAACTGTATTATAAATGTATAGTGGTATGGTTGTTTGAAATGTCAACACCATTATTGTTAGCGTAATATAACCTACCAGTTGTAGGAGGCGTCTCTTACCTTCTTGCACACATTTTGATTTTTTTGGAGGACCATGCCCAGTCGTTCGCTTTCTGTTCGTATGTCTCTAAGACTAGACCTATACCGCACTGATGAGTTTCTGGTAACTGAGACGGAAACCAGACATTATTTAATCAATGTGTTTGTTTACCGTATTATAACGGGTGATTTTTTAAGAGGTATAGGATTTGATTTTCAAAAAAACACAAAAAAAATGAAAAAACGATTAAATTATTTCATGTAAATTTTGGCCGCGGCTCCGCTTTAGATGGCCTATGCGCAAGCTGCAATTTTGGCACACTCTCTCCAACATATCGGCCGGTATCTCACGAATAAATGCTTCAATATTGGCTTCCAGTGCGTCAATCGTTGCTGGTTTATCCCTGTAGACATTAGCCTCAACATGGCCTCACAAGAAATAGTCCAACGGCGTTAAATCACACGATCTAGGCGGCCAATTGACGGGCCCCAAACGTGAGATAAACTGTTCACCGAACTCGCCTCTCAATAGGGCCATTGTTTCGTGTGCGGTGTGGCATGTGGCACCGTCTTGTTGAAACCACATGTCAGCCAAGTCCAGCTCTTCCATTTTGGTCAAAAAAAAGTTTGTTATCATCGCACGGTAGCGCTCGCCATTCACAGTTACGTTCTGGCTATTGTCGTCTTTGAAGAAGTACGGTCCGATGATGCCACCGGCCCATAATCCACACCAAACAGTGATTTTTTCGGGATGCATTGGTAGCTCTTGTAATGCTTCTGGCTGGTCTTCACTCCAGATGCGGCAATTTTGCTTGTTAACGTACCCATTCAACCAGAAATGAGCTTCGTCGCTGAACACAATTTTTCGATAAAAATGTGGATCTTCCTCCAACTTTGCCAGCGCCCATTCACCAAATGGGAAACGTTGTGGGAGGTCGTGTGGCTTCAATTCTTGCACCAGCTGTATCTTATAAGGTTCATCACTAACACTGGCGGATACAGCCGCAGTATTTTCTTTAGTCTACGTCTGCGTGTTGGTGGTTTAATGTCCAATAATGCAAACTGGGTTCGAAATTTAGTCACAAGCTTCCGAATAGCTCCCTCAGTAGGCCGACCAAATTGCCCATAAATTGGAAGCAGTGCTCGATGCACTCTCTTAACCGAGTATGAATTTTGATAGTAAAATTCAATAATTTGCAAGCGTTGTTCGTTCGTAAGTCGATTCATGGTTAAATTATAGACCAAACTGAACAAGTTTGACAATGACACAAGACACGATTCACGCGTCATCTGTCAAAAACAGTGTTGCCAAAAAGATACTAGCAAAAAAATCACCCATTATTAACGTCAATAATCGACGGAAACTCATGCATATCCCATATATCGCGAGACATTTCTAAAATGAGATATCTTTTGATATCGCATATACACATCATTTCCGTCTGTCTGACTGTCGGTCCGTCCGCTAATCTTGTCTAAAAGTGATGCATATCCCCTATTCTTCAGATGTTTGTCCCACATTATGAAATCACCCTGTATATTTTCTAGGTCCGAGACAATCGATGCCTCGACAGCGAGCCCCGATGAACGTCCGACCGCGCATGGGCGCTCCGGGGGCACCAGGGGGCATGGTACGTCCGGGGGCGGGTATGCGGCCCCGAGGACCGGCTCCAGCCAACGGAATCCGTCCTACCGGACAATCGCCTGTCAAGCGCCCCCCTCAGGCCAACAATCAAGCGGAAATGCAGACGAAGAAGAAAAGGTTCGATCTGCTGACGCCCGATAAGGACGACGAAGACTGCCAGGTGATCTGCATGCAACCGAAGAATACTGACGGCGGTTTGCCACAGATTGAAAGTGTGCAGGTAGGTTTTCTTTTATTAGTATTACATGTGCCACTCAAAAACGCCTTGGTATGATTAAACTACGAGACATTGGAGTGCGTAAATTTCCAGATGCGGATATGCGTAACTCTTGGAGGTCAATTTTTCAATACTAAGGAATATGATAGCGGCCGTAGTTCTATCACTTTTCGGGGCTCTAAATTTTTTTAAACTTTCGGAAGTCTCACATCTAATCTCTGATTATATGTTATGAAACATTTAATGATCTGAGAATCCTTGGATCATTTTGTGCACCTTCTTTTGTTATGTATAGAATCTAAAAAGTTCAGGGATTGCCTTTACAACTTTTTCAGGCATACCTTCTACGAAAAGATATGTCCGTGTTAATGATGCAAGTAGCGATGTGACGATTATTGAAGCGGGTGTTCCCCAAGGATCGGTCTTGGGGCCTTTTCTTTTTTACTATATGCGAATGATCTCTTTGCAGTTTAAAGTTGTTAAATTATATGCGGATGATATTAACATCTTATTGACCAGTTCTAATAACATTCAACTCTTTCATAATACTGAAGCGGTATGCACAGCTGCTCAAAAATGGTCTGTGAATAATCACCTTATATTAAATACAGATAAGACCCAATTAATGAAATTCCCTCTAAGAGATAACTGGGATTTCTCTCTTTAGGTTGTTGAGTATTACCATTGATTGTCATCTAACTTGTGGCCACATGTGGAATTGCTCTGTCAAAAATTATGTAAAAGTGTTTATGGTATAAAAGTGTGACCAAATCACTGTAGTTAGCAAATTTTACCTTGTGCTATTCAAGCTTTAACTGTCACTCGGGCTATGGTATCTTAAGCTAGGGATGCAGCTCATCGATAGAGTCTTTCTTCTCCAAAAATATGTTATTACGAGGGTGAATCGAATGTGAACCGGACTTTTCTGTTTAACGTGCCATAGGTGGATGGAGTGGGTCGACGTCTTGGTATATGTTGGGTGGGGATGTCAAGAAGAGGGGAGTCAGTCGGTTTGGCGCGCCTAAGTAGATGAGTTGTTAATAGCATCATGCACACGTGTGTTGCGCAACGCATTATTATAAAATTTTTGTCGCGGGAGGGCGTAAAGCCTTCCGAAATTTTGCACAGCACAGTTCGGCGATAAGACACGTCAAGGGTCAAATATACAGCTCTCAAAAAAAATGTCCATGGAGTGTCGAAAGCCTGGTGAAGCAGCACCGCGAAAAGCCAAAACCAGTCTTTCTGCAGGAAAAGTTCTTGCAACGGTATTTTGGGATTCCAGAGGTGTACTTCTGGTTGATTTTCTTCACGATCGCCGTACAATTAATGCTACTCACTACTGCCAACTGCTTAAAGAAGTGAAACTGGCCTATCGGCGAAAAAGGCAAGGCATACCTTTTCGAAGTGCCTTTCTGCTCCGTGACAACGCGCGACCACACACAGCTGCATTGACCCAAGAAAAATTACGCGAAATCCATTGGGAAACACTTGAACACCCGCCTTATAGTCCCGATTTCTCTCCATGTGACTATCACATGTTTGGGCTACTTAAAGAAGACCTTGGAGATCACCACTTTGACGACGACGAAGGCGTGGAAACGTTGGTGCACAATTGGCTACTGACCCGACCAGCTTATTCTTTGATGGAGAATTAAAAAAGTTCAGATCCCATGAGAAAAATGAATCAATAAGAGAGATTATATAGAAAAATAAGATGCAAATAAAATTCTATTCACTATACCAATAAAATTAGTAAAACAAAAGTCCGGTTCATATTTGATTCACCCTCTTAGAATTAAAATCTTTTTGGCGTGAATCTTGCAGATATTATTTTCGATCCTTAAGAATTTTGACAGTAGCTTGTATTTACATGTATGAATTATTAATATACGATTATCAAACTCGATCTAAAGATCTGCTGATACCCCCTCAACATCGTACTGCAGCATATCAGAAATGTTACATGGGTTGTAAAATAATTCAAAAGAAGTTATTCAAAAAGAATCATTTTATAACATACTGTATGTGTTTTTGTAGCATGGAAGAGTTCTTTGGAAGTGTTTTTTAAACTGTATTGTATTATTCCACCATTTCCTTTTGACTTTTGATTTTTGTTATAGTCTGTGGATATTTGGAAATGAATAAATGTATTATGATTATTTATTATTATTTCAAATTACTCCAACCACGCTGCCACATATTTCACTAGTGGTAGCCATAATATAAGTTCAAGGTTCATTATTTTTCAACACGCTACTCAAAACACATTTTGAAGGTGATCTACCTAGAGTGATGAATACAATTACCTTACAAGTCCATTATTTTTTAATTCTAGGGTGGTACCGAGCAAGCGGAAAGCAGCATAATGCACCTGTCCGACTCCATAACGCTGAGCGTTCGCAACCCGCCTCCTAAACCAGTCGTTCAAGAACCGAAAAAGTCTGATGCGAAAGCGGTGGCCAACATCCTGGCCACCAGGGGCATTACTGTGACGGCGTCGGCCAAACCGAAGGAGAAACCGCCCGAAACTGCTGGAGGCGGACAGAAGCAGCAGTTACCCGCATCGCTGAATCTCAACGGAGCTGTCAGCATTATTCCAGCGGCTAATAAGGCCAACGGGCATCCTAAGGTATGCATAAAATATGGATATTTTTACAACCCCGCGAGTAATATAAGGTGTCGCCCGCTCAAAGTGTATTAATGCTGAGGACGAGGCCTGTCGTAGCTGTATGGACGCCCACGTGCAATACGGATTAAGCCGCTCCACATTGAGCCAGGGAGGAACAAAATCTGTCGAAAAGTCCCTATTTAAGACAAAAATGCTCATTCCCTTGCTTTTTTGGAATAATGCGGAGTGATTAAGGATGCTAAATTAGGAAAATGGACTTTTACTCTCCTTGGAAAATGCCTTTTCTAAAGTACTGACCAAAAGATATTTGCGCATAACACTGTGCCTGAAAAACTACTAAACAACGCAGCCCTGTAAGAAAAATTGTGAGTTGGCTCAACTTTTTTATAACAATGGATTTTAAATTGTATTTTATAAAAATAATTACTATCTGAATATTACATGAAAAGGAAAGAGTTGTTCCGGATTGACACCAACATACTTGATCCTATGCAATCCTGCACTCTCTGTAAACAAAAATTACTGGTTTAAAATCTGATCCCTTGTCGAAACAGACGTATACTATATTAATACTAAAAGATCCAGGGAATTATATTTCTTCGAAAAGAATTTGGATTACCTGACATTATTTGACAAAGTCATGCAGTCATCAATAATGCAGCCACTTGGCACATGCTACATACTAACTAGTCTAAACAGTTTAAAACATAATTGTGTGTTCAGTTTGCGCGCTAACTTTATAAACAGTTTAGCGCATTTCAGTATGCAATATTTTTTTATAAACTTTAAGGTTCATCTGAGCATGTAAAAATTTCAGCTCTTAATATGTATACACAAGAGTATGAAGAAATCTTGAAAAAATGTTTGTTCTTCGCAACAAAAGGTGATAGACACATTCGCTTTGTTGTAAAATATCTATAATAACCTATGTGTTTGGAATATCATAGCGAATCTGTTCAATCACTCACAGATACGAAATATTTGAATTTGTTTAGAAGAAAAAAATGTAACCGTTGGTTTTTCACATAAAAATAACAATTATGTTTCGGAATGGTTTGTGATTCATGCAGGCAAGGCAAACTCGTGTGTTTTGCTATAAAATGGCCTTTGAACGAACCATGTATATTCCTCAGTAAACTAGTAGAGATGGCCGGAAGACAGGTGTTTTGGGATAAACAATTAGAAATTCTCAAAAACTACTTGACCTATCGACTCCAATTTTGTGGTACTTATTTAGAAGTATGAAGCCAACGGATTTGAAGAATTTCAAGTAGCTGTGTGAAATTATCGTCGTATTAGCAAGTGTCAAAACCTGCATTTTGCCTCGGTTTTCGGCCGTCACTTTTTTGTCGGATCTTTTTACGTGTGGTTTCATTAGGTCTCATAAATACCTAAAAAATTTATTTGAAGAGTTTTTTCGTTTATGTCAACACTGTCAATCCCCAAAAAACACGTTTTCTCATTCTTTGTTGTCGAATAAAAAGTTTTTCCACAAAAATTGGTGTACCCATTTTATGCGTCCATGTTTTAAATACCCCCTTGAAGAACTTATCTCAAGAAAACCAGACTTTACAATTATTATATTATATATTATATTATTTATAACCAGGGGCATTTTCGTTTAATATGATTAGACTATAACTTAGCGAATTACCTTTGAGATAGCCAATGCTAACTCACGATTTTAAAAAATTTCATTAATACAAAGATACAGTCAACAACGAGATTCATAATTGTTAAGATATTGAAGGAAAATATCAGAGATAATGATAATGCCTAACTTGAAATATATATATAATAATTTCTTATTTCTAGCTTCTAAAGCCTCCTCAGAATAAAACTCATGAATCAGAATAATAAGTTGCTCAGAGCCAGGTATATGGTACTAATGGTACTGCCGGAGCTCAGTATGGCAAGGCACCGAAAGTGCAGTATGGTTCAATATTGCGAATAAACTTGTTAAATCTAGTCTTCGCGTAAGTAAAGCAAGTTATCGGGAATGTTTTGCAATATACAGGTTGATGAAGATGATTTTGATTTTATTCGTCAAAAATAAGTGAAGTGCGCGGTGGGCTATTAGACAATGTATTAATTACCTATTTTACAGTGTTCTTAATATATCTAACTTGAAGATCCGACAATAATTTTATATATTTTCGACAGACCACTAAAATCGTTGCCACTCACACAGCATAGCCGCCCGGTCAAACGCGTCCGGAAAGAAGACTTCGGCGACACATTGATGTGCTAAAACTACTTTTCATGAATGATGTTAGTTAAATAAATATCTCTGATGCTTTCAGAGCAGATAGCAATCAAGACATGCGCCTGCATTTAATTACAACTACTTAGTCTGAGCTGGCCGGACAAGCTCTTCAGTTTTGTCATGTACGGATGTGAATGTGAAAAAGTGAAGAATTTTTTTTATACTCCAACTACCACGAAGGCCTAAGGCCTAAACACCCATTGGGTACCATGGGGCTACTTTGTGAAGAACAATTATTCATTCTTATTACTTAGTTACTTATTTTTAATTGCTTAAGTGTGAAAAAAAATAGAGCTTCGTGACACTAGGATTTTTTGATGACCACATTTGAAATCCGCGTCCCAAAGTACCACGAGTTACATTCACTTGTAGATATGGAGAGCAAAAATGAAAATTCTGAGTGGTGAATTTTTAATGTTTTCTCACGAAAATATTCACAAATTCTTTATAGTGTAAATTGGATGCGTATATCAAGAATCTACTGTCAGTTTTTTCAGTGAGATTGACGGAAGGTCCCAAGGTTCCTGTTCCAAATACTTTCATTCACGTGTAGACACGAAAAACGAAAATACAAATTATGCGTGAACCTGTCAGTGATCGTGTCCAAGATCCCGCCACACAAATTCTGTTACGCTATATATATATATATATAGCGTAGCAGAATTTCCATCTTCGTTTCCTCAGGTTGCACCCGTATCCGGATGTGTGGGCATGTGCATCTACTTTTGTAGTTTCATATGTGCATTCATTTCGGGCCTGATGAAGCCAACCAGCAGAAATACGTAACGCTCGGGTTACCTATACTATTTTCTGCTCGAATCCACTTTCCTCCTTTTTTGCGGATTTTGCCCATTATTTTCCTACTTTTTGTTATATACCTTTCTCCGCATGATCATTTTCTCTTTATATATATACAGAATTTACAAGGCCGGATCCCGGACACTGTCACCGACAAATCACCGACCACTGTAGGAACAAACCGTAGGTATCTATTATCAGTTTTTCGCCGAGTTCGGCGAAATGCCCTAAAAAATCCACGTTCCTGTTCCAAATGGAACTTCGCGGCACTTCAGAACTCTTTGAGTTGATGCAAGTATTTTTGTGGGCTGGTAATCTAGACGGAAACTCGATTCTTGGTTAAATTGGATGACTATGTTACGAATGTGCAGCCAGTTTTTCGCTGAGAGAGATGCTTACGATAAGTGGGGTGTGTAATGTGATAATGACTTTCACCAATCAATGATCATTCGATTTGCCGCCCCCCTGGACATGAATTAAATAATTCAGTTTCCAAATTTGAATCCGTATCTGAAATTCCGTAGACCCACATACAGAAAAGTAGGTCAAATATCATAAGGTTGAGCTTTATGTCAAGTAGGTCGACTCCTTATCTCACAAACATGATCGCTTTGTTTTAAATCATATGGCGTTAGACTTGGAAATAATCTAATTGATGACAGAATTCCGTGGGAAATACAGATTCAACCTAGGTACTTGAGACACCGCTTTTACTCACCAGTTCTGAATTTTGTTTCAGCCCCAATCCGAATCTCTTCCGACCGTAGACTTGACAGATGACAGCAGCCCGGCGGCGCCGGCGCCCCAGCAGCTTTCACCAAATTCTCCCCAGAAGCAGCGTGCAGGCCTTCCCTATCGTTGCGACTTGTGCCCTGCCACTTACCCCAATGCACTGGGGCTGAGCAAACATCGGCAGACCTACCATAAAACCACCGGCGGTATGTGTGAATTGGGCATTCCACTGATCAACCTGAAGCAGCCTGGAGTTGTGCAGAAACTTTCCTCGCTCGGTATTAACAGCTTCATACCGATGCCGTCGTCTGGACCGGAAGGTATGCTTATAGTTTATGGCGTTTTCCACTGGCATGCAGTTTTTAACCTTTTTGGCAATTTTTTGCCAATTCGCTGATTTGTTCTGTACTTAATGCATTTTTACTTCCCACGCCTATTGACTGTATTGAAATCGCAAAATTTCGAATATTAGATATGTTTTATGGATGTTGTATGACATGTATAGTCTGCAAAAACCAAAAGTTCGCCAAATTTATTCTGAAAAACAGGGTTTAAATAGCTTTAAAATAAAGTGATATCGAAATACTCTTCAAGGTCTTGCAGAGCAAGGTTTTAACTTTGATTGAGGTACTTGGCGACCTCAAAAATTATAATTTTAAACCGAGTTTTTAAGCATTGAATATAGCCGCACGGTAACGCCTAATCAATTTTAACAATTTTTTATACAAGGTGTTCCAGAAGTCAACGTCAAGCCGGAAACGGGGATAGGCCAAGTCATAATACGAGTAGTTATCAGAAAAGTATAAAAGATATCTGTGATGATCTTTTAGTTCCCATTACTACAAATTTACTACAATTAGCGACGGACAGTGTCATTCTTTGAGTGACAGCAAGACAGAAAAGAGTCACAAGCACCACCGTTTGGAACAAAGCAAATCCTGCTGCAGGCAATGATGCTTGTGGTCAACGTGTATGGGGGTGGTCTGAAAAGTTTCTGACCTAACAAAGATACAAGGCATATTTTCTTTACATTTTTTTTAATTTTCCAACATAGTCTGCTTGTAACTACACACTTCTCCCAGCGATGCTGTTTGTAACCCATCCAAATAGTACTCGGCGTTTTTCTCTGCAACGAAGGTGATTGCGTATTCAATTGACGAAAATATCTGTCCTCCGAGCGCATTTTTTAGATGAAGGAACAAAAAGAAGTCTCTTGAAGCTAGATCTGTTGAGTAAGGCGGAGGGTAAAGCAGCTCAAACCGTAATTCGTGGATTTTCTCCATGGCAACCGCTGAGGTGTGAGACGGTGCGTTATTTTGGTGAAACAGGATCTTCTTTTTCTGCAAATGTGGCCGTTTTCCCGCAAGGCCTTCAGCTTGTGAAGTAATGATGCATAATATGCTCCTGTAATGGTTTTTCCTTTTTGAAGATTATCGATTAAAATAACTCCATGACTATCCCAAAAAACAGTCGCCATCACTTTCCCAGCCGAAAAAACAGTTTTTGCTTTTTTGGAGACTATATTTTTGTGGCGGGCGAATAATCTTCTATCTAAGCTTGATCAACAGTAATTAATTGGCGCCAGAATTCGGATTTGTTGCGCCTAAACTACGACAACAGAGCATTGGAAATGTTCATTCGAACACGTTTTTGGTCTAAAGCGGCACCCAATACGAGGACAGCTTTCTCATGCCTAAATGTTGATTTAATATGTGACAAACTCGTTATTTTGACATGTTCATAACCTTTCGTATCTATCTCACTTTAATTCGGCGGTCGTCAAGCACCATTTGACGAACTTTTGCGTTGCAGTTTTTGGACGTCCCGAATGTACATCGTCTCCCAAGCTCTTACGGCCACTTTTATATTCAGCTGTCCAAAATTTCACTGTGGTAAATGATGGTGCTGAATCCCCATACACAGAATCCAACTCATCTTTGATTTGCGCAGGCGTATTGCTTAATATTTAATGACAGCTCGCTACTCAATTTTGTCCATTTTCACAAAAAACAATCACATCAACTCACTCAAACCATGTTTTTATAACAACTGCGCGTCCGAAATGACTGAAAATGAGTGAGTTACTGTCAACAGATGAACAACGGAATTCACTAGCTTTCATTTACGATGGCTGCCATCTTCACTTTGAGGTCGGAAACTATTCAGACCACCCTCGTATATTCACATAATCATATATGCAAGAAAATAATACTGTATAAAAGTTTAAATACATTGGAAAGCTGTTGTGAAGCATTAAGACCAATTACAATAAGAAACGAGATTTTCGTTCACATGCAAGCTGCTAGAAACACATATTGCTTGAGGTCAACATTACCAGATAAAAGGTTAATCTCTTGTAACGCAAAGTAACTGATTAAGGGTTGGTCTTGTGTTTTCTAAGCTGTCTCTAGGCACACCCGTCATGTACCATATTCTGACGTTAAACCCTAATTTCGTCAAACGTCCGAGTATATCTGAACAGCAAACCAGATTCAGTTGATTCGAAAGATTACGTCCCTCTTCGATTTACAATTTTATTTTGAGTGAGTGCATGCTAAAAAAACGTTTTAGTGCGGTTATTATCGGAAATGAATAAAAGTTTTTTGTTACAGGTACTTTTGCTCTGCCTGTAATCAACACGAGGAACGCAGGAAACGTAGCGGCGATAGGTGCTACGAGCATGTTAACTCTTGGCCCAGTTAGAACCATACGGCCGCAGATGGCGAATGGATCGAAGCCACCTGCAAATGCACAAAAGTCCCAATAATTGATAGACTAAAGCTGCATACCCATTTAGATCATACAGGTGTTCGAGGTGCTACAACATAAAGGTCATGTCTGAACGGCAGTATTACGCATTTTTTTCTACAGTATTGTGCTTGTGGCAAAAAGCCCTATTATTACGTTTTGTTTCACATTGCCTAAGTGGGTAGTTTAGCTGATAAAGCACTACCAATCACTATAAAATTGCTTTATTTTTTCGGAACAGCTAAACGAGCAGTGTTTATGGACCGGCGATATTGCTTGGAGGATATATTGCTGCTTCTCAAGAATAGTGACACTATTCAGAAAAAGCTTTTTTTCAGGAGAGGCATTTTTAATATTTTTTGAAGAAAAATTTCGAATAACTGAAGGTAAAGTTGATAATTTGGATTATTATAAAAATTATCAATTTAATGAGGTTTATTGAACAATATTCCATTTTATTAATTTTTTGCAACTTTACAGAAATGAGTCCTAAAAAAATGCAATCCTAAAAAATATATGACAAATAATCGTGGTTAAGGAACAATGAGGGAAAATTTATTTTAGTATTACTCCCAATGATACACAATTAACAATATTTTAAACGCTACGTGGAACTAAAAAATCAAAGGTAAGTACGGAAAAAAAAGTACAATACAAAAATTCGTTACAAATTACTATAAAATCCCTCAGAAACTGAGGGTATTATATTTTTTTCCACTAAATTGAGTAAGGCGTGTCTTTTTCTTGGAAATGGGAATCTTACGTTTGTATGCTTTATTCAGAGTAACTCTAGGACCTCATTTTATTGCTTCGTTTTTGTATGAGTTTTTGTAGAAAAATGTCACAGAATGTTAAGATTCCACCCTTATTATTCTAACGTCGGATATTTTGAATGACTCATTTTTATGTTGTAGAAAGATAGTCACAATGCACTTTATGTCACTATTCTTGATTAACACGATCGGTTATTAGCGTACGTTTCTCTGATATGAGGTTATTATTGAGAAAATTTTAAGTATATGCTTTGGAAGTCAAGCCGCAACTGCAATATGACATTATTCATGACAGAACCCCAAAACATTCGATATTAACGATTCGATATTCCTCATAGTCATAGTCAACATTTATAGTGGATCTGCAATTTTAATTATTTTTTCTTGTTTTTTGGATGGTGTCACTATTCTCGAGAAGCAGCAATATATCTCGGTTATATCAGCTGTATTTTAGCTATATCTTGGCAGTATTATATGTAATTAATGGACACAACGTGTCTGAATTTTTTCATCAGAAGAACTACAAAATCATGCGAGAATGACTGAAGAAATTGTACATTTAGTAGGATTTCAATAGTTCGGCAATCTGACGACAGCAGTATATGAAAGTATTTCAGAAATGTCAAGAACATATAGCAATATAGCTGGACCAACAAATTCGAATATATTAGGAGTCAAATGCATTGTTTGTCGCGAAAATTTCGTATTTTTAGTGCATACTTTTTGACTCTTGTCTACCAATGCCTACCAAAGTGACAGCGTTGCATTAATATAATACTTACTGGTGGAAATATCTACCTTCAGTAAGCTTGTGTAAGAAGCACCATGTCCTTAAACACCACAATTATTTGCAAATTGAAAATTAACTCTAAATATATGAATTTAACGACAATTGTAAAAAATACAGTAATGTCAAGTGCACGTTGATCCTCAGCACAGACTGAATTAGTCTGAATTCGTTCTGCCGGACAGTAAAAATATAACCCGTTCAGAAGCGCCATTTCTGACAGAAGTAACGATATTTAATTTACATGTATATTTTACAACATTTTAACGAACAACATAATAAATTTACTGACAGAAAGACTTTGTATAGTTGAGTTTATGTGTAGTATCTGTATAGTGACTGTAGTGGTCTATTTATATGTACAGATATATATTCTTATGGATTGCAAAGCTGTGTTCTGTGAATATGCATTATTTGTATATAGTTATTTAGTATTCATAAATTGAATGTATTTGGCTGTTAATTTATCAAAGATATAATACACAAGAAACTACTATAGTTCATATAATTTTTTTAGAGTTATCAATATGTTGTATTCTTAGCATATATTATGCTTGAGGCACATTGTAAATATTTTTTATACTGAAAACGATTTTTATTTTGAACATAGCCCAGTTTATAGAGACTGATTAAGTTATTATATGTTAGATGTGCAATTATTATATAAAATAGTAATGCATATGTTTCACTTGCATATTACTAGATAAGAATATGTTGTAACATTTATGAAAATAAAGATTCCTTTTGTATACATGGATCAGTACTCTATTTCAATGAATCCTTCCTAAATTGATTAGTCCTGTTAAATCGGAACTTTATTAAACAACTACACATTTGGCTTCTGGAATTTCAAACAAAATATGAACAAAATGGATTTTTTGCGAGTCCACGGTTTCGCGAAGAACGGGAATAGCGGAAAACGGATGTGACGTCATACAAATGTCAAAAAATCACGTGGTACGGTTAACCGCCAAACATCGGTGAGATACTAGCGAATGACAGGTCTTATGTCAATGTCATTTAAAATACAGACATCTCAATTGAAATTTTTTTTTAAATTACTAAATCATAAATGGATGAACAGATCCACCTGATTTTAAATGACGAGAGAGGTCATCGTAGTTATATGAACCGCACTTGTCTTATGAAACGGTTGAATATATTGGCGTATTCTTTAATTCACCGGTCTATATAGTTTCTAAAAAAGTTTGGTGTACAACCGGTCGCTCAGAAAAATTGGTTAATTGCTTGCACCGGTGGCTCAACCGGTGAATTAAAAAATACGCCTTATATATATACAGGGTGACTTCGAAGTTGAGTCATTTATTTTAACAGTGAGTAGATCTGATCAAAAGAAATGTTTTTTCCTTTACCATTTTTCTGGTAAAATTAAAGTAACAAAGTTATAGCCCTTTGGAAGTTTGAGTACCGCCCTGTCTCAATAATAATATCATGTGCTCGTGTTTGGCAACAATGGATATAATCCGCCTTATCGGTTCATCGCATCGGAAACAAAAAAGCGAAAGAATTTGGAACGATGTTTTTACAATTATTTTATTCAGTTGTATACACACAATCAGTGTCAGTCGGTAACGCGTGTGGATAGTGGTGTCTGTTGCGTGGCTCAAACGAAATAAAAAATGGCACATGTTTATGCGGATCGGTTTCCCAATCGAGTGCAACCTACCCCTCGTGCCTTTGTTAATGTAGTACAACGGGCTCGTGAATCAGGTGACTTAAGACCTCACAGGGGACCTCACGATCAAATACAGGTCCGCACTGAAATACTTGTCGGGAGGATACTTTATAAAACAAGGTAAATTTTATTTTTTTTATTTTTACACACATATTTTGGTTTATCTTCCTTCTACAATCATTATCTGAAAATTCATGACTCAACTTCAAAGTATATATATATATATATATATATATATATATATATATATATATATATATATATATCCTTGATCGCCTTCATCACGCCCGAAATGAATGCAGATATGTAACTACAAAAGTAGATACACATGCCCATACATCCGGATACGGGTGCAACCTCTGTGCCCCCTGCACCTCCCCATCTTCGTTTCCTCAGGTTATACCCGTATCCGGATGTATGGACATGTGTATCTACCTTTGTACTTACATATGTGCATTCATTTCGGGCCTGATGAATGATGAAGCCAACCAGCTTGGGTTACCTATCCTATTTTCTGCTCGAATCCACTTTCCTTCTTTTTGCGGATTTTGCCCATTATTTTCCTATTTATTTTGTTATATACCTCTCTCCGCATGATCACTTTCTCTCTCTCTGATAAATAACACCCTGTATATATAAAAACCATCCATGCACATGTAACTAATTATTCCCATCTCTATTTTCATCATGCTGTCAAACAGTGTTACCGAACCTACCAGATTTTCCGGTATTTCTACCGAAATATGACACCGAAAACGACCTCATTCTTTTCGGTTTTTTTGAAATAATTGAGATATTTCCAGATTTTTACCGAAACAAAAAACGGGAACTTAAAATAAAGCTGAAAAAATGGCGTCGAGGAGGTTGACCCTGCTCTTCTTACGCGACGCTGATGTTATCAGTTCATAAAGGATTATTTTCGGTACACGTTAGTCAATCTTAGAAAAAAAATGGCTACGAACATGAATAAGAAGAAATCAAATGGATCATGGTAGTCAAACAGGCTCATACAATTAGTCCAAAGTCCAACAATGCGATATCGAGCCTATCGTCCTACCGACATTAGCGACCACCCAGCAACCTGCTGGTGATCCAGCGGGTTACATACACAAAAACACGCATCATCATTCAGTTAGTTACCGTTTGTGGTTGCTGTTATCTCAGTCTAAAATGTTTTGTGCCGTTATCCCTCAGCTTTCGGCGCAGACAGACGTACCCTCCTTGAGTTGTTCAGCACACGTATATCAAAAAGATTTCTATCAAGTGTTAATGACAATTGTACGGGGAAATCTATGATGTATGATATATATCTAATCAGTACGTAGAATTACCACTGCAAAAGTGGAAATTGATCTGGTATACCTCTGAATACGTCAAAAGATGCATTTTATTTCTTCGTTTTTTAGCACTAGCTTTGCTGCCACTGAAAACTTAAACGGCGGCCTTTTGCGAAATTTTCATCTAAATCCGAGCAGTTCTTCCCAAGTTATAGACGGGTCAAGGATTAGCGGGCAGACAGACCGACAGACTGACAGGTAGACCGATGGAAATTAGTGAAATGGTTTTTCGAGATTTACATGACATTAACATTCAAGAAATATATCTCATTTTTGGGATTTTTCACAATCTATCTTTAGCATTTTTTGTTGAAGAGATTCGCTTTTCTGCCAGTTAGAACCTCAGTAATTTTTGGGCAAAAGGCCGCCGTACTACCCTGATGAGCAGAAGAAGTCAAGCCAAGTCCAGTGATACATAAGCACACACTTAGGCAGTCGCGCACACGACAGATATAGATTTGGGTTGCTTACATCCCTTACTCAACAAGAATGGATAAAGGAGTTTCCAGAATACAAGTTGGAATAAAGAAGCTGATATTTTTTTAGAAAAGATGCCCTCAAAAAATCTGTGTTGTCCGCGCAATACGAAAATATACTTTTTTTCATATTGCCTTGCGACAGCTCTGATTTTTCCTCCCACCGATTTTGTCCTTGAATCTACGGAAATTCAACAACACTTATCTACCGATTTTTGGTTCGGCAACACTGCTGTCAAAGGTGTCGAAAATCTAACCCTAGTTTTTTAAAAGTCTTTAACCTATAAAGAAAAGTCCAGGTATTTTCATTTTGTAATTTGTAATAAATACATAATAAAATTTCGGAAATCATGGCCAATAAGCTAGCCTGGTTTTTAACTGATGCCGGCAAACGATTTTCTTTCTATGCCGCCTGCGCCGTTAGTACTAGTACTGCCCTTGTGCATTTCGCTCCTCATACATTTTTCCTTGATACATATGAAGAGTTCTTACACTTATATAAGTAAGTATAATTGGTATGTAGGCGTTTTGAAATTTGGGATAGATAAACGACACATTTATTTATCTAACTTATATAGGAATGGAATGGCTGTACAATTAACAGACAAGCTAAAGCAGCGGTTCCAGAAGACCTTGGATATTTTGGAGGTAGGTAAGTCTGTGTGTGTTTTACTTTCAACTTTTCTAATATATATCCAGTATATGCATTCTGCGAGCTTAGCAAGATATTTATATTGAGCCCCCTCCAGTTGCAGTATGTTTAATGCATGTCGGAACCATTCCCAATGTACTAACTACAGTATTATGCACTACTCATTGAGCTACCCATTTTTACACCATGATAAAATGAAATTTCCCAGGTGGAATGTGTAAAGAATAACTGAGCACTTTGAGAAGTTATGCTGAATTACTGAAAAACCTCACACTTCAGGTCAGTGTACATTATTAGCAAATTAAGAGGTAGGTGCCCATCCCATAGATGCCCAATTCTGCCATTTATTTTATCAAGAAACTGGTTTTAAATCTCAGTGTGTATATATATTAGTATAAAAATTACCTTGCTAGACCTGAATGGGGAGATTAACCCCCCACCTAGAGGTATCCCGTTCCCTGGTCTTCAGTTGTTACGAGACCATTTGCTGTCAGAAACACTGCTTAAATACTTATGCATGCTGCTGCCACCCTCCTCTCATCAATTTTTAATAGTCGTTAACCACTCCCTATGACAAATGTCCTTCAAAATGCAATGACCACTGCTGCACCCCCATAGACAGATTCCTAAATCTGTCCTTGCCAAAGGGGCAACATTATCAAGCATTTCTGGCTGAATGGGGTTATAGAAGTTTCCCTGCTTTCCCTGGCATCAAAACAAAGTATTCATTGTATACTCATTTACATTTATCCAGAACAGTTAGATGGGCATCAGAGTAGCATATAACTCCAGAATAAAATCTTTTGTAAGCTATGTCATGAAATTATTACAATTGATTGAAGACTAATGCAAGATGTGGTTAAGTCTAGTTATCCACCTGCTTATGTATACTATAATATTTGGCTCCATGCAGTGCAGTTCTTTACTTGGTATATGTTTTTGAGGCCTCAAATACCCAGCTATCCAAACCTCTCAAAAAAACTTAAAATGCCAAAATAAATATTGATAATATTGATAAATGTGCTCAAGATCTGCCAACATTGTGAATCTTCTAACTCGCCTACTGATATTTTACTAAGTAACCATTCTTTGTCAAATTAGAGCACAAGGTTCATGTTGTTTGTGTCTACAAAGTAGTTAAAACTGTTTTTAGGTGAAGAAAGCAGACCAACATTTATACAAACCATTTTTTGCCTATGGTTTTGATATTATTAGTGCTGGTAGTGCATATAGTAAATTTGGTGCAATAATCGGCCTCCCATATTATTTCACACATGAGAGTACCAGTGACATAGACAAGTCAAAAATCAAGGCAAGTTTTCTGTGACACAATTTATTTTATATATTTTAGATTTAAGACAAATGACTTAAGATAAAGCATAAAGCAAGCCACAGGATAAATTGCCTAACACTCAATAAAAAAAGATCTTGGGACTGTATTACTTCAGAGACTAAACAGGAGAACATATTGCTTTACTTTAGTTTCAAGTATGCTGCTGCCTGGAGTAAGATCCTTGTTGATGTCATTTTGATTATTTGTTTGACTGAAATGTAATTTTGGTTTTGGAGAAGGGCTCTATTAGGAAACAAA